TAACTCGCCGACTAATTATTCATACATTGTGAGAAAGGAACGTATGTACATTTAAATATGCATTGCATCATAATAAGAGTCTCCTTTGCTCTGAGGATCTTTCTTACTTATTTCTTGTATAGTTCTATACAATATATATATATATATATATATATATATATATATATATACATCAACATCAAACAATCAAAATAAATCGAAACAAAATACGCCTCGGAATGCGTTACCTGCTGCTCTTTCGTCTCACAATACTACGGTACGACATCTCAGGGCCGCTCTGGGACAAAATGTGGATGATTTTAGTTCATATAAGGGATGATTCAAAAAAAATTATAAGGGGAAAAGCTTCAAAAATTTTATTTGCAATTTTGATTTAAAGTTTTTATTTTATACGATAATGGTTATACAAATTAAGTTGTCAAACAATAGTTTTTTACAAGATAGATATATTTTCTAATTAGGGGTGCATGGCATCGTGTCTTAAAGCAAATTGCTGGATTTTTTTTTAAACATTAAAAAAATTAGATTTTTGAGAATTTGTGAATGTTTGAAAAAAATTGATTTTTTTTTAATTTTAGTTTCATATTGTATTTTGAAAATTTTGAACATTTTTTTAAACATTCGCGCTGCGTAGCTGTTTTAGAGGCGAAATATCGAAGCGCGTAAGCGCCGCATTGCAGTCTAACCGATAAACATTGATACCGAACCCATGTAAACAAAATTTGTTCTTTTATTAAAATCTCCATAAAATATCTGATAATATGATGCACATATGCCTAATGATGCCGCTAAATGGCATTTCTTTACTTTTTTCATTAACTCTTCGAAACTGCTAGACCTGCCTTCCAAAAAATTCAATCAAAAATATGTTCGATTTTATGCGAATACTGTAACCTACCTTATGTGAAGTTAAAAACAAAATTTATATATTAGATATTAAAAAGATCTTGTTGGCGCTCACTTAATTTACTTTGCTTTTACACAGAATAAAGATATAATCAATATAAAGATGTTCGAAATAATGTATATAATATATTATATCATAATATTAATAAGATAAAAATTTCGAAAATATGTTAAAAAATCACATTTTGTTAACATTTCTAGAATATTAAAAATCATGGTGTGAAAAAATATTTTTTATTTTGTCGTATTAAATAATTTTTTTTAAATAAATATTATTTATCGTTCAAACTAAAAGCTTTGCTACAATTATTATTATCTCGTAGAATTTCATGAACTTGAATTGTTTGAAGTGACATCTTGCACGATTTACAAAGATGGAATTTTTAGAGAAAATTATACTTAGATGTTTTTTTATTTGCTATAATTATATAGGGTAGACCAGTCTTTCTCAAAGTGGGCGATATCGATATTGATCTCCAGGGGGTCGATGAAAGGCCTCGCGAAAAATTTTGGTTGTTGACGTTGGGTTAGAAGGCATTTGTAATTTTAGTTCGCCAGAATTTGTATCCCAACGATTAATTGGTACTTTATTAGTTTGGTCGTGTATCCATGGTGTTTAAATGATTTTGATACCATTTTATAGCTTTTTACCAAAAAATTGGCTATCAAAAGGAAATTGTCTGACCCGTTTTTACAATCTGTTTGACTCTGTTGTAGAGTTTTTAGAAAATAAGGACACACAGTTGTGTAAAAACCTGATATCATCAAAAAATGATATAGCATATCTCACAGACCTTTATGCATTGCTCAACAATATGAATCTACAACTTCAAGGCGATGGCTTAAATTTAATAAAAACAAAAAATATCATCGCTGCTTTTGTAGCCAAACTGTTATTACATAAGAAAAATATTGGAAGGCGGGAGTTTTATAATTTTCCAAATCGTGCAACAAAGACATGCTCGTATACTGCCAACAATTGGAAAATCCTCATGGCAATTTTATTGAAAGATTTCAAGATATTTTAAACTTGGAAATACCAGGTTGGGTATTAGACCCTTTTTCAAATGCAAATGTAGAAACATCAGCCCAGCTAGAAGAAGAGCTTATAGAATTAACAACTAATGAAGAATTAAAAATCAAATTTAAAGATGGTTATCAACAATTTTGGCTACAGAAGTCAATTTAGCAGTTATACCCTGGCATGTGTTCGGTTGTTCAAAAAATTTTACTAGAATTTCCATCGTCATATTTGTGTGAACGTGGATTTAGCGCTGTGACAATGCTACTTACTAAAAACAGAAATCAGTTGCAAATTACCAAACGCGGTGACTTACGACTGTTTTTGAGTCGAATGGAACCTGATATTGACAAACTTGTAAAAAACCATCAAATTCATCCTTCTCATTAGAGTTTGAAAATAAAATTTGAAATACTGTTTCTATTAATTTGATTATAATATATAAAATATATGATTAATGTCATAAAGTTGCGTTTTATTTGCTCTCACTGGTAATAATGTCTAATTTAGAATGTAAGGTTCTATTGTAAACTATTCAGAGATTGTATAAAAAATTTGGTAGGGGGGCGATACAAAAATTTTGATCTTCAAAGGGGGCGATGGGAGAAATAAGTTTGAGAAACGCTGGGGTAGACTTTAAGTAATAATAATGTCTTTAAGTAATATTTTTTGAGCTATGTTCAGTAAAATCCAGTTAATTTCTATTCATAGAAACATGTATTTTTACTATTTTTCTAAAATGTGTCAGATGTCTCTTTATACCTCATAAGCGGAGTAAAAAGGGACAACCAGCGTGTAAACAGATCCTATGTCTTATTTTTAATTAAAAGTGATTTTACAAATTATTAACTACAATATTCAATCAATGCAAAATATATATTTCATACATAGAAATATTCATCAGCAAAGTTGGAATAAATATTAATTTAATATATTTTATGTAAAATTGCTTTTTTTACTGAATTCACATTTTTATTTACTATTTTTTATTGTTTACGCCTTTGCCATGGTAAAGGTTCAGTCGGTCTTTTTTTTGCTCTATCAACATCTCGGCTATTATAAGGATTATATAATATTGAAATGAATTTTACTTGAAATTAACTAACTAAATTAATACATCTTAAAGAACAAGTGAAAAATGTATACTTAAAAGTTATATTAAGGTCTCATAAACTAAACAACAGTGCTCACAGTAACAACGAAAGAAAATACTTTTGTTGTAGATTTTCAAACATGGCTGTTTCTTTCCTTACAGCGACGTTGCTTTATTTGAGACTACGGCTGATTACACATATTTTGCCCTCTACTTTCAAATATAGTTAAAAAATTTCTAACGTTGTTTGATATTGAGATATTGGTGGTGGATATTTTTACCCGCGGACCTTTAATCTCCGCTTTACTTTATAAGTATTGTGGGTGACGCCGAAAGCTTATAGGTGGCTTACGCCAGCCAAAATAAATTATTCAAATACATGCAGAAGTGGATTTTTAGCATAATTTTGAAGCTCTCGTTTTCAGTGAATAATCATCATTAGAAAGTCTAAACGATGATTGAACATAAAATATTATTTTAGAAAAGTGTTGATTTTCATGTTTAGTCATATCAGCAAAAATATCTTAATTGAATAGGACAATATTCATGAGAAACAAAAAATAAGCGCGGTATAATAAACCCGTAAAATTTTGAAAAACATTTTGTCTAATCTACTTCTGCGCTAAAGACAAATTGCTAGAACTTTTTGTACAGTAATTTATTCTTTATTTTTTTGAAAATTTTGGATTTTTTTTGAGAAGGCGATATCGCCGCATGGCAGTCTATCGGCTAAACATTATACATATATTTTAATACGTAACTCAAAAAAATTGAAACAAAATTTGTACCTATTTCTTCGTGTCTATATTAATGTCTAAGAAATATCTGATAATCTGATGTGTATATGCCTAATGATCATTTTAACTACCAAATGGCCATTTTTTTAACTTTTTTTTTTGAAGCTCCGGAACCGCTAGGTCTGTCTTTCCAAATTCAATTCTTCATTTCGTCAAGTGAAACATTTTTGAATCATTCAGATCGGAAGCTCCAATCTCTCAAAAACTGTTTTGCCATTTTTTGCACTTTTCGTCCGGTATCTTTGAAACAGCTGGTCCAAAACCTCTGCCAAAAACTAGTCAACACGTTTTTCCATCGATATGAATCAAGTGATTTTTGAATCTTTCAAATCGCTTTCTAAATCAACGACGAAAAATTGTATTAGCACATACACATGCACACGCTCTTTCAAAGCTATATCAAAATGTTCAAAAGACCTCGAAACGTAAAGATATGAAAAATTTTCATTTGTATTTTTGTAACAGACTTATGTGAGCCGATTATGGCACACAACAGACCAATGTTATACTGAATCATACTGAATACTGTCATGTATTTGCTGTGCATCCAGGCGTTTTAGGCATAACCTGCAACGTCACTTGTATGTTATGAATATGGGTTAGAAAGACCCTGTTATATAAGTTTTTTTTTTTACATTTGTGCGATTTCTAGGTTAGGTTTTCTATCTGACAACCTGATAAAAACGCTTTTGTCAATATTTAGTACGAAAAGTTTTTCATAACATGGCCTTGCCATAACATTGGTATATTGTGCAGCAAAATCGGTTCATTTACCTTGGACAAAATTGTTTGACACATTTTGTGTTATGTGAAATATTGTAATTCAAATGTCCCGCCATTATTTTAGTAGTGTTGGCAATTGCGCTTTCCCTACCCCTATGTACCCACCATCTTTATATTTATGTTCATGTTAATAGCTATGTAAAATCTTTCTCTTCTTTGCTGAACCGTGAACCAAACAACATATAAAATAAACTAAATAATCAAAAGGAAGCATTTTTATTATACCAACCTACAAGAAGTTAAAGAGAAATTTATCTGAATTTTAGTTTAATTTTGTATTAAATTTCTTTTGATATTTACAATTTTCAATTTATATAACTAAAATGTAATTGTACTATCTGTTATACAATTTAATCTTATAAATAATGTTTTCAAAATTAAATAAATACATAAATAAATTTTAGTTTTTACATATACAAGTGTCTTCTAAATTATTTTTGATCCAACTCAAGTAGCGCCCGACTCGGGTGTATACTCCTGGGTAGCCTGGTCTGCCGCATCCGACTCCCCAAGACACTATTCCTGAAAAAAAATGAATAAAATAAATATATTATGATAATTTAAAACAATAAACTTAAAAATTATTAATATCCTGGAAGAGAAGTTTGTTTCCACAAAAATTTCCGGTTTGATAATGTTATATTTTTTCGAAGTTTCAAGTACATACTTTTTAATCGTTTGAGGCCAAATTCGTGAAAAGTACATGCATGTGTTTGTGTGCATCTGTGTATGAGAGCCGATTTTAGACCTTCTGTTGCTGTTTTTTTTATCAAAACCTGCTAAACCGATATCAAAAATTTAACGAGCATTCGATGCACCTCGGTGTAGAATAGACGACAGTTTTGCCCGACGATGGGCCAAGCCGTTTCTTGCTAATTTTCTGTCTGTTTTTTTTTTAATTCTGAACCGATTTTGAAAATTCAAAATCTATTAGAAAGATATCATTTGAGAATCATGCTGATTAGTTTTTGGAAAAGGTCGACCGGAACTTATCTTTATAATTAAACGATAAAAAGTGCTTTAATGGAACTTGGAAATGCGATGGAATTCGTGGCCTAACCGTGTATCTTAAATTATTCTAGTACTACTAGTGGTTGATTTATGCAAAATTATTAATGTTTGGAATAATAGGACGCTCTTTTAGAAAATATAAGATCGTGTTTATGCACTATAATTAATTGATTTACTGATGTTATAAGTTTTTTTAAAACATGTCAATTTAAAATTGTCCTGATTAGTTTTCATTATTTTTATTAAAAGCAAAAGTATAATTCGAAATTAATAAAAAAAATATATATAAAGAGCTAAATCAGTTCAGTTTAATATATTGCCACGATCGCCAACGTTGTGGCCAATTCTCTGATAAAATAGAAATGTCACATAGCATTGTTATGGTACTCGGGGCTGAGGAGAAACTGCTACCGGGCGCGTCTCCACGTGTGGATTGGAGAAAGCCCTCCCTGTTCTTGGCTCGCAAAGCCTGCTTAGCGGTTAGGAACATAGGGTAGGAGTGAAATAAAATAGCTCCCGTGTACAAAACTCCCCTACATGTAGGTAGGGTTGGTCACTTCACCTGACCATGCAAAGCGGAAGAACGTCAATGAATATGGAGAAAAATAAAGTAGAATCATTTACAGTACAGAGGATAGCTCAGTACCGGCGGCCGAGGGTTTGCGAACGGGCCCGAAGTCGTCGTCATCATGCGACCGTTTGGACAGCGTAGTAGACCCCATGGCTTCGCTGTCGAGAAATGCTACTGGGAGTATAAAAAAGAGCGTGGAAAATCAAATGATGGAGGCACTGAGACGCCTCGAAACACTTCTAACTGACCTCCACAAGATGATTAAGTCGAAATCCAACATTCACATGAAGATTAAGACAAAAACGAGTAGTGTTGCAACTGCCATGACGCGTTTTTTCGACCTCGATAATCGATGGTTGGAGAACCTACGGCATCCCACGCCAAAGAAAAACAGCCAAACTGTTGTGGAAATTGAAGAAGCGAGAGACACCGGAGCTATGTTATGGTATAATCTTTATATAACTTGGTATGACAAACAAGAGAGGTAAACGGCGTTTGGTGGAAGAGACTGCGGTTTCCTAGAGACCAAAGTCAAGCTCGTGGCCTCCGCTCGGTCGGTCTTGTGGGAGATTACGATCTCTTCGGAACCGTAGTCAAGCACGTGGCCCCCTTTTCATGGGTCTCACCGTTAGTATCTCTTTGGAGGGAACTAAGTATCACCGCTGCGCTTATGGACCTGTGAGCTGCCAACCTTCTCGCTCCTATTAACAGTCGGTTCAATCAATGCAAAGCCTCGGATAAATCATTTAAACTCGGGGAGACCAGTAGATCCTTACCCACTGACTGATACAGGGAATCATCTTTGCCGCTACCGTGAATATAACAAAGTGTTATAAGTGTAGTACACAAACAAAGCCAACATAAAAAGTGTTATGACAGCAGAATGGCGATGATAGAGCCTCAGCCCGATGGACTGAAGAAAAACAAGCGCTCATGGCTAGGAAGAAGCAGCACAAACAAAGCTCTTTTTTCTGTTACACCTGGTCGATCACTGGAAGCCACTAAAGCCACTAAAGGCCAAATGAGATCACCGAAGTCGCACTTGACTGCCTACTAAAATATCACAAACAAAAATACAAACCTGTATTTATTGCGTCAACCGACGTTTGATTCTATATCGCATAATGCATTAATTGATACTTTGAAGTTTTACAACCTACCGAATAGGTAGGTGGAGTATATTAATAGGATATATACGAACAGCTGCACAAAACACCGGTATAAAATCTGATCCTCGGATCTCGTTAGTCCGAGGAGCGGGGTAAAACAAGGAGACCCTTCATCGCCAGTCTTGTTCAATCTTATTGATAACAGACTCATTGAAAGCGCCCCATCTGAGATAGGGGTTATTGATAGAGGAAAATCTTAGCTTTTGCTGACTACCTTGTCCCTGTGGCATCGTCTCAAAAAGGTTTTCAAGCACTGCTTGACCACACTGACGTTTTACTATCAAAGTGTGGCCTTATAGTTAACTACGCTAAGTCATTTTCTAGCTCCATCAGAAATGTGCCACACGCACAGAAATCGATTATTGATAAAAGTATTAAGTTCTGATGTGGTAATCGTGACTTGCCCGCCCTCTCTAGGGTGGAAGTATGGAGCTATTTAGAAGTATCTTTTACTCCGAAGGGTGCTATAATGCGCGACCTGAACAAGAAATTACAACACATTATTGAGAAGCTGTCCAGCGCTTCTTTAAAACCCCAGCAACGGCTGTTCGGGCTAAAAACCGTCGGGATTCCCACATTATTTCATCAGCTTACGCTAGGCCCGCACTTGGGCGACACAATTATTAGAAAAGCCGTAAGATCCTGGCTGAGGTTACCAACCGATAACAACCAACGCCTACTCCTGCCAGAGACACAGACGGGGGTTTATCCCTTCCGTCTCTAAGATAGTTGGTGCCTCTCAGACGAAGGAACATACTCTTAAAACTGGGATGGACAGAATCACGTTACCATCAGCTTGAGATAGAAAAATATGTAAAACGCCTCACCGATAATGGAAATAAACTATCTTAATAACTTCAGTCAAACTATTAGATGGTAGTTGGCAAGCTGCTCCACAATTCAGTAGATGGTTGACCGACGCTAAATCATCGAAAGTCCCGCAGCAACACCGGTGGATTACCGATGGCACCAAAATCTTATCAAGCCGGGACTTCATCAATTCCACTCGACTCAGAATCAACTATATGCCCTGCAAAAGTTGCAACAGGAGAGGCCGCCGGGAAAATAGGTTTTGTACAGCAGGGTGCAACGCTCTCGAAACACTGGATCATATCTTGCAAACGTGCCATCGAAGAAACATACAAAGGATTGACAGGCATAAGGCCGTCACAAAATACCTTAAACGGTCTCTAGAGACGACGCATTCTCGTGTTGACTGGGAACCCATATTCCAAACACCAGACGGAACACGCAAGCCAGACCTAATTGCGTCGTAGGGACAATCCTCCATTCGACTTGACACTCAAATTGTGGGAAGTAATGTGGATATGGAGTTGACCCACAGACGCAAGATTGATTACTACAAGAGCTTGGATGCTTTAATCAAGGAGAGATACAATACTTCAGAAGTGGTATATGGTACAGTCACGTTGAACAACAGAAGCGTGTGACACTATGACACGGCCAACTTTCTGCTATCAGGTAAAGTCATTAAGAAAGAGGAACTAAAAATAATATCTACGCGTGTGTTGATCGGTGGACTGAACGGTTTTGGAGCATAGACAAAAACAACGTCCATGAAACGACGACAATAGGGTAGGATGTACCTGATTTCAGCGTGCTGCTTGCGCATAATAACCATCAGGCACGATACTAGGAGTTAGGTTTAGTGGGTATTGCTTGCGAGTTGAGTCCCACACTACCTGGTCAACCTGGCGACCGGTGTGCATAAATCCATTCTCCCCTTAACAAAAAAATATAGCCAAATGCCTCGTCATTTAATTAGTGACGCGCATTAGTGGATTAACGGGATTTCCACTGTCCCTAGCATTCTAGCGGAACCACTGCCAAGGAACGGGCTGGAAAAATTAGCGGGGAAAGAAGACCCTGTGAAGCTTGACCTTAGTCTGGCATTATAAGGAGACATGAGAGGTGTAGCATAAGTAGGAGATAATAAAACATAATCCAAACAACGCACAAACGTTAAAAAACGTTATCATAACTACATCTTTCTGATGTCATTGATAACTTATAGATGAGGTTAGATTTCATATGTAAAACGCCTGACCGAACAGCAAATACATTTTGACAGTTTTCATTACCAATTTATATGAAGGATTCCAACAGCGTTGTTGTAAGATTTAAATTTTATTCGAGATTTGATCCCTTACAAGGAGAACCCGCGCGTTGCTCGTCTGGGATTTTGATGAAATTTGGCACAATTGTAGATTTTATGCTCAAACTGACCGTGGTGAAACATTAGAGGTCTATGAAAAGCGGTTTAGTTATAAAAATTAATTAAAGTTTGCATTTTAGCAGCGCGCTATACCATAGCCGCTATACATAGCTTGCAACGTGCACTGTTATCAGTTCAGTCATAGCCCAATGGTAAAGTGACTGAACTTTACTAACAAACTTTAATAGTGAAATACCTTGTAACGTCTGTATTAAAATTTTTTATAAAATATTGGCTAGAATATTAATAATTTGATATTACGGTACTTCCTAGTCCGTCGATATTAAAGGGTACCTGTATATTGCATACAGGTACAGATTTGCGCATGTATCACTGCAGTAAATGATGAACGAACTTACGGAAAATTTTATGATACAGGTAAAGAGTTATTTAACAAATAATCATTTAATTCATTATAATTTTGTGTCTTGAAGTGTTTAGTTGTGATATTGTGCGTGATCAAAATGGCTGATGATAAAATTAATGTGCCCAGTGATGATGATAGTGTTTTTTCTCATGAAAAGCCAGTTATTGTGGATGCATTTGATGTGTGTAAAAAAACTATTTGAATTAAAAAACATTGATGGAGTTCCGAGTGTTAAATAATTCGAAAAAGCCATTGTTCTTGTAATTTTTTTTTTGTGATGCTATTATTGATATTTTAGAAGAACACTCGTTTGTGACTGTTAATGGATTGTTTATGAAGCATGAACAAGTAGTAATTATTGATTCCGGCGAAAAATCATCTTCACCAAATTTAAGTTCGTCTTTTGCGGAGTCGAATATTAGTATTGTTAGCACGGATACAACAGAAAGCACGGATCCAACAACGGAAAGCAATGGGAATACGCCATTACCAAAGAAAACTAAAACTTTGTTTATCCCATTAGATTTAAAGTTAAAAGTAATACAATTAGCTGAACAACATCCCAAATGGACTACCAAAGGCCTACAGAAGTTTGGAACAGCAGCGCTTAAAACAAAGTCAGATTTGAAAAAATGGCAAAGGGACGGTTTAAATGGCGGCACATCAAATGAAAAATTTGATCAAATTAATAAGTGGACATATGATAGATTCCAAGAAGCTGGCGCATCGAAAAAACCTGTAACTACAAAATTATTACAGCAATGGGCGTCCGTGGTAGCACTTCAGTTTGAAAGTGACTCTTTTAAGTTCAAAGCATCCGAGACATGGATTGATACTTTCAAATCCAAACATAAAATTGTACAAACACGTGCTACTCAATATTTCAAATCAAAAAAAGCGTTAGATATTTATAAAATATTGGAGGACGCTAGCAAATTTCAAAAATATATATGTAATATTTCATTGAACTTTGAAAATGATTTCATTATTAATACTGACCAGGTGCGAATACAGAACGGACGTTAAAAGGTCATTGTCTAATAAGGGGGAAAAAGTTATAGGAGACTTCACTAAAGTTACGCATATGGAAAGTTGCTGCCCAAAGTATTTTTATGTATGCGCGAGCCGAACGGTCAGTTTGGACCAAAAGTTCAAATTGATGTTCAAAACTTTGAACACGAATTCAAAAATATTTGTGTCACTGCGTCGAAAAACGGTAAAATGACGAAGGAACTTTTTTCATATTTTATTGATAATATGCTTAAGCCATATGATAAAGGGAGAAATTTTTATTAATATTAGATTCTTGGGGTGGTAAAACTGATCCATCACTTTTCAATAATTAGTTTACAAACGAAGTAGGGCAACGAACCAGTACAGTAGAAATATTACCACCCCTTCGCACACCATACTGCCAGCCTTGTGACATTTATTTCTACAGACAGGTAAAGTTATTTATGAAGAAAATTTAAAATTGTTACCAAATTAGGCAATTAGAAAGAGAATTAAATAGAAGAGAAGATGCCTTAAGGATACATTCTCTAATTCATCATCAGTTATCTGCGCATATTTTTCAGAATATGATCCAATATGCTTGGTTTGCAAGCAAACTGGCTAATACGAGAGAAATTTTTTTGAATGTGAATCAAGTATATTTCGCGGAAACCGTCGCTAGTGAAAAATGTTTATGTAATACTACTGCATTTGTGAAATGTGCTCATTGCAATTTATTTTCATGTTTTTCTTGTTTCTATGATAAGTACCATCCCGCCAATTATAAACCTTAAAGTAGTTAATATATGCAAATAAATTACATTTTTTCTTCCTTGTTATATGGTACAGCGCGCAGCTAAAATGCAAACTTTAATTAATTTTTATAAATAAACCGCTTTTCATAGGCCTCTAATGTTTTACCACGGCCAGGTTCGGCATAAAATCTACAATTGTGCCAAATTTCATCAAAATCCGAGACGAGCAACGCGCGGGTTCTCTTTGTTAGATTGCTGCTTCACATGTTTCTAAATTATTATTCAATGAATTACTACTTATAGCAACTTCTAAATTTGTATCGAAAACATTTTTTAATATTGACAGAAAGTCTAAGGTTATTAGCTTACCAACTATCTCATGCCTCTCGCTGGTCTGGATGAGTAGAGGTCCACCACTATCACCTTGGCACGAGTCTTGTCTTCCTTTACCGGCACATAACTGCAATTGATACATGATTTTTTTATTATTTATGAACAGCAATCAGAACTTAATAGTCTTACAAGCTGTTGTGCTGATTTTGACTTAATACGAGCCTGTTCTGACAGCTGGCAACCCAAACAGTTATGGCAACAACTGTATGATGTATTATTATTACAATTTCTGTCATAGGGCGAGTATTTTTATTGGTGCAGCAGAGCCGGGTGAAGGCTTTTTTTACTTGTTGTTAATGCTCTAGAAGATCATTCTTTTGGAATAGTTAATGAATTATATATGGATCTTGAAAATAAAAGTGAGGATTCTGACGAAACATCGTCTTCAGCAAACTTTAGTTCGTCTTTTACAGAAACAACAAATGAAAGTTCGAAAAGTACTGAACTAACTACGGAAAGTGAAGAATATGAGCCAATGGAAAAAAATATAAATCGTTATTTATTTCGATAGATTTAAAAATCATGGTGGTGCAATTAATTAGCCGATGAGCATCCGAGTTGGACTATTAAAAGTCTGCAAAAGTTTGGTTCGGATATTATTAAAGATTTGAAAAGGATATTATTAATGGCAGTACTTTGAGCGAAAAATTTGAAATAATTAACAAGTGGACATTTGATAGGTTTCAACAAGCTCGTGCATTGAGAAAATCCGTTACATCTAAATTATTATAACAATGGGCATCTGCTGCCGCCTTTCAATTTTAATCGGATAATTGATGTGATTTTGGACGAATCAAAAAATTTTCAAAAGTATATATCGAATATTATACCGATTTTCAGTAAAGATTTTGTTATAAATACAGACCAAACTAGATGTGAGTATGGATGAGAATAGATGTTAAGATAACTTTATCGTATAAAGGAAAAAACGTGACGGAAATGTTTTTGGGAGATTTTAGTAAAGAGACTCACACTTATACAGCACAGTACTCTATGACAGCTTCCGAAAAACTACTGCCTAAAATATTTTTATGTTTGCGTGAGCTAGCGGGCGAATTTGGCCCAAGATATCAAAAATACATTTGGAAACGTTTTTCTGACTACATCTAAAAGCGGAAAATTAACGAGAGTTCATTTTGTGTCCTACATTAATAATGTTTTATGGCCATATGTGGGAAACAAAAAGACATCATGAGATGGTCAGACAGACTCAGAATTATTTAATAATTTTACAAATGAAGACGGGGAAGGAACTAGCACCATAAAGATTATTTCTCCGCATTGTACACCTTATTGTCAACCTTGTGACGTCATTTTTTTTAGGCAAGTGAAGGGGTTTATACGAAAAGTCCAAAATTGTTACTAAGTTACACAAATTGAAAGAGAACTGAATCGAAGAGAAGCGATCAAAATTCATTCATTAATACACCACCAGTTATCCGCTGTTTTATTTCAAAAAATGATAAGATATGCATGGTTTGCGAGCAAATTAGAAAGTACAGGAGAAGTATTTTTGAATGTGAAACAGGTATGCTTTCCTGGATCTGTAGGTAGTGCCAAATGTCCATGTAATACAGCAGTTTTTTTAAAATGTGCTCACTGTAATGCATTTTTATGTTTCTCATGTTTTTATGATAAATACCATCCAGTAAATTGTAGTTCTCGAAGTTAAATATATCTTATTCATGAAAAAAATGTTTTATTATTAATATGCAATGCAAATACATGTATTTACAGAGTTCTTTCATATGTATATATCAACTATTTACAAATATCATATATTTATGTATTAAACAACAAATGTTTTTATGTAGTATATGTAACTAATTGATATTAATTATTATTTATAATAATATTTAATCAGATAGATGTGGAAATAAAATTTTAAAAAATAACTCTACCAGGGTTCGAACCAGCGCATATCTGTCTTCGACTCTTACAAAATAGTGCTGTGAAATTGACGAGCACTCAATTTTCTAACCTGTAACGGAATTTTCTATAAAGTCTGCTTCTAGTTAGTCTTATTAAAAAAATGTTTTAAAACTAGTTCCTTTTTAGACAAATTCATCCTTTTATAATAAAAATTCGAAATTTAAAAAACGTTAAAGCATTCAGGATTATTTTTGTGAATGACAACGTGAGTAGCAAAAATATACAAGGAACAGTAAGGGAGTTATATTAGCGGTTAAAATTCCTTATGGACAAAGAACTAAGGTAAAAAATTATTCTTACCGCTCTTTTTTGTAATTTAAATATATTCTTTAGTTAAATATATTATTTTGATAAAAATCCCTAGAATTGCATTCTACATGCAAGAGACAAAGAGGAATTAAATAAATAATCGGTTTAAATTGCCTGTTTTCGATTTATTATTCTAAGTATATATGACCTGAATTGCAGAATGCAATTTTTCCATTCTTTCATCTTTTTTGTGAGTGTATTATTCAGATGATTAAGGGATGTCTTATCCCTTTGATAGATGAGAATGTTGCCAGGTACGTCTTGCTTTTCGTTTCTGTGCAATTAGCTTCCTAATCTCTAGCGGAATTATTATATTATTATTTCTTGGAATAATATTCAGGGTGATCTGCTTGGTTGTTTTACGTACAAGCTCAAAAAAATCTTTTTTAATTTCCCGTAGGGTAAGTTATTGTAATGGGCCGAAAATCGAAATTGAAAATTTTTACATTTCTCGACGTTTTGAAGGTTTCTGAACATTTTGGCATACCTCAGCAAAAAAGGATGTTTGAGTGTGTGTGAGTGTGTGTGAGTGTATATGTATGTATGGATACATTTTTTCGTCCACGTTTTCGGGTGTACGGATCAACCGATTTGAATGGTTCAAAAAACATTCGATTCCTATTGATAGGGAGATGTGCTGATTAGTTTTTGGCAAAGGCAGGTCCAGCAGTTTCGGAGATACAGAGCTAAATGTGCAAAAAATGGCAGTTTTTGAGAGAACTAAGTGTCCGATTTGAATGATTCCAAAAACTTTCTGGTTGTTTTAACAAAATAATTGATTTTGGAAATTTCCAAAAAAGTTGGTTTGTATATCGAAAATAATTCAGATTTTCATTTCAATTTTGTTCTAATATACTTTAAACAATTTCAACTTTCCAATTTAGTTTATATAATTCTTATAAATATAAATAGACAATGTTACAATATTTATAATAATCAATTTTAAAACATTTTATTTATATTATTTATATTCCTCGATTATATCGTTGCGATACGGGAAGTTCCAGCAATTTGCCTTAAGGCACGATGCCATACACCCCACTAGTTTTATTTTCTATATCAATAAAGTTAGTAGGCCTTGATTTTGGAAATAATTTTGGTTCAAGTATGGATTTAAATTGTGTTCAGTTAAAAAATTTGTTTTGAGGAATGTGATTGTTGTTAGCTGGAGTAGGAAATGTGCTAAAGGTCATAAGTATTGGAGAATGATCAGAAGAGAATCGTAACTAGATTCAATATTAAGATTTGAATGAGCAATACCTCTTACAATAAAAAAAATCTAAATGGTTTGGAACTTTAACTGGATCAGAAGGCTAATGTGTTGGTCTACAAGTTGAAATACTCGTATAGAAGAGGTTATTTTGCTCTATGGCTGCATGAAGTACCTTACCTTTGGCTGTAGTCAGTCTAGAACCTAAGGCAATATGTTTACAATTAATGTCGCCACCAATTATAAATTTATTACCTAATTGTAAGAAAAATGAAGAATACTGAGAACAAGAAACTTGGTGGACAATAAACAGCAGAAACACAAAAATTATATAAATTTGTTTTAACAGAAATTTGAATTGTTTGTAGAAAATCATCACAAATATTTGGTAGAGTAAAGTGCTTTATATTATTTTTGATTAATATAGCTGACGCGCCGCGACCCCTGCCACTTGGATGATTTGAATTTTAAGTAGTGTAGATGAAAAGTAGGTTTTTTCAGTGAAGTGTGATTCTGAAATTAATAAGATATCTATTACGTCAAATTTTAAAAAACATTCTACTTCATTTTTGTGAGGTAAAAAACTGTTGGCATTTCATTCAGCAATTTTAATTATATGAATGAATATGGGTCCCAGTTTGTTCTTATGCAATCGAATGCTTTGAAATTTAGAAACAGAAGAAAATTCAAACGGGATGTTGTTGATAAGTAGGGAGTTGATATCATTACTTATTTTTTGTTCGATGGGCCATACTTAACATCGCGTAGGGTAAGTTATAGTAATGGCAAAAAATCGAAAATAAAATTGTTTATATATCTTTAAGTTTGAAAGGTTTCTGAACATTTTGGTATACTTATACCTATGTGGATCGATTTTACGGATAACACGGATCAATTTGAATGATTAAAAAAAACATTCGATTTCTATTGATAAGAAGACGTGCTGATTAGTTTTTGGCAAAGGCAGGTTTAGATGTTCCGAAGATATGGGCAAAAAGTTCCAAAAATGGTAATTATGAGAGAACGTAGCGTTCGATTGGAATGATTCAAAAAACATTTTACTTGTATTGACAAAATTAAAAACCGTTTAAGTTTTTGCGAGTTGAAAATGGCATTTAGCCTTGAAGCAAGTTGCATGAACTTCTCGAAATGTGTAAGAATTGACTTATTCAATCGAAATTGAAATTTAGATATTTAGATACAATTTTCAACTATTTATTTCAAAAATAAACTTATCGCTTTCAATTAAATCTAAACATTGCGCTTTTCAATAGAATTTTTTCGAACACATTTAAATTAACTGTATTTATATTAATTATATTGTAGAGACACGTGCTTGTATGGCCTAAAATTGTAGCTTATTATTTTTAAATTTGAATGAATTATTAATGTTTGACTCATCGCAAAAGCAAATTTTGACTATAATATTTCCAAACTTTAATAAATTTTTAACATTAAATTATTTGTCGTAGGGCCATAACATTTTAGTATGTTTTACAAGACTATGATATTTATTGCCAGAAAAAGGTTCATAAAAATCGGCAAACATTTTTATTCAACAGTTAATTTCAAGAAAACGGCCCGGTAGATTTTTACCTATAATTAATAATTATCAATCTCAACCAATATCTTTCGAACGGTTTTTAAACTTTCAAAATCGATTCAGAATTTTTACTTTTCTGCTATTTATAAAGAAACGGCTTTGCCGATTGTCGGTTGGTTGACAAAACTGACGAAAAATAGTTTTTATCTAGATACGTCGAATGGCTTTTAAATTTTTGAAATCGGTCTAGCCGTTTCTGAGAAAACGTCGATTCACGGCAAAAAAACTGTTCACACACACACATACTTTTTCCAAATTTGGTCTCATTCGATTCAGAATGGCTGGAAACGTCGAGAAAATATAAAATTAGCGAATCGGATTTTTTATGAAAACAAACTTCTCCTTCAGGAAGTTAATAAATGCTATTTGGCGGACAAAAATGATCATTAGATGTGCATATGCATCAAATTATCACATATTTTATAGATATTTTAATAATAAGAACAAATTTTGTTCTGTTATCCTGCGACACGCTTTAAATTTTTTGTTTCCGCACAGCTAACTTATCGCGATTGCTTTGAAAAACGTTCAAAATTTCCAAAATAAGTCAAAGTATAAAGAAAAATCAAATTTTTCAAAGAGGGCAATTTTTATTTTCTCGAAGTTATACAATAAAAATTGAATCTTTTTTTAAAAAAATAATTTTTCGTACGGGAAGTTCCAGCAATTTGCCTTAAGGCACAATGCTATGCACCACTAGTTTGAGTCTTCTCTTTATTGAGCCGAAGAATATTAACTTCCCGTAGGGCAAGTTATAGTAATCGCAAAAAAATCGAAAATGAAAATTTTTATATATCTTTACGTTTCAAAGGTTTCTGAATATTTTGGCATACCTTTGTTAAAAAAATGGATGTATGTGTGTGTGTATGTGCGTGTATGTGTGTGTAGATACAAATTTTCGTCGACGATTTCGGAAACGCCGATCAAACGATTTGAATAATTAAAAAAACATTCGATTCGTATTGATAAGGAGACGTGCCGATTAGTTTTTGGCGAATTCAGGTCTAGCCGTTCCGAAGATACGGGGCAAAAAGTGCAAAAAATAGTAACTTAGTTTTTAAGAGAACGGAGCGTACGATTTTAATAATTCAAAAACACTTTACTTGTATTAACAAGATGAAGAATTGATCAAATTTTCATGAAGGCAGGTTTAGCGGTTTCGGAGATATAATGAAAAAAGTAAAAAAAAAATGCCATTTGGCGGTCAAAAATGATCATTAGACATATGCACATCAAATTATCAGATATTTTATAGAAATTTTAACAATAAGTACAAATTTTGTTTATATTCCTATGGGTTCCGTACCAATGTTTATCCGTTAGACGGCGACGCGGCGCTTACGCGCTTTGACGTTTCGTCTCTATGCAGTCAAAGCAGTACGATTGCTTTGAAAAAAAGTTCAAAATTTCCAAACTATGTCAAAATAAAGAAAACATTCTTTTTTTCAAAAAAAAAAATTCGACAAAAAAAAGTATTTTTTTGTCGAATTTATAGTTTCTCAAAAATCTAATTTATTCGAAGTAAAACTTTTTCAAAAATGTTAATCGTTTTAAAAAAAAAAAAAATTGGTACGGGAAAGTTCCAGCAATTTGCCTTAAGGCACGATGCCATGCGCCCCACTAGTTAGAATTGTTTTGGCATTTAATTTTCTTGTGACAGTATATTTCTTACCATGTTGGGCGTTATCCTAGAAGCTCTGTACTTCATTGATCGGCATTGGGCAAGACTGAGGATTGGCACGTTTACTTCCTGCACGATACCTGGCAAGGTTCCACCTTCGCTAGTTCGGCCCCAACCTACCACGGTTCCTTCCTTGCCGGCAGGATCGCTGTAGGTACGCGGCAGGCAAACCGGCCTGATGGTTTTACCTGCACATAATTATAAAATGTACAATTACTGACAATTATATTCGAATAATTAAATTACTGTTCATAGATAGAATAACGATATAACTGTTTGGCCGTCTTCTAGTATTAAAATGCGATATGTGCTTCCTGGAACTAATAGCTTTTGTTCGGAGTGTTATGGAATAAACTATAAAATATTTAATTATAAAATATGTTTTATATGCATGTCAGTGCTAATTATGTGATTTTCCATTGTTCAATCTCTACAAGTGGTGATATAAAATAATATGTCGAAACATATGGTAAAATAAAGATTCCCTAAAAATATTTTTTCATTGTGCTTTTGAAAATTTTATGTATATATATTTATATATATATATATATATATATATATATATATATATTAGAGCCGGTTCTACTTTGCGATGCATGCAAAAATGCGGGCGCACGCCTTAGGGGGCGCCAACACAAGGTTCGGAAATAAAATTTATTATATAATATTTAACTTCCCGTATGGTAAGTTATTGTAATCGTCCAAAAATCGAAATTGAAAATTTTTGCATTTCTCGACATTTTGAAGGTTTCTGAACATTTTGGCATACCTCAGAAAAAATGGATGTGTGTGTGTATGTGTGTGTTTTGTGTGTCCGCCTTTTTTCGTTTACGTTTCGGGTGCACGGATCAACCGATTTGAATGGTTCAAAAAACATTCGATTCCTATTGATAGGGAGATGTGCTGATTTGTTTTTAGCAAAGGCACGTCCAGCAGTTACGTAGATAAAGAGCAAAGAGTGCAGAAAACAGAAATCGAGTTTTTGAGAAAATGATCTAAAAATCATTCAATTAGTAATGCTTGGTAGAAGTGGTTACTAGTTTTTGGCAAAGGCAGGCCCAGCCATTTCGAAGATACAGAGCTAAATGTGCAAAAAATGGCAGTTTTTTGAGAGAACTAAGCGTCCGATTTAAATGATTCAAAGAACTCTCTGCTTGTTTTAACAAAGTAATTGATTTTGGAAAAAAAATTGTTTCAAAATTTTTCTTTCAACATTTTTTTTCAAAAAAAAAATTTTTTTTGTATATCGAAAATTATTCAGATTTTATTTTTAATTCTGATTAAAATACTAAAATACTTTACACAAATAATTTCAACTCTGCAATTCAGTTTATATAATTCTTATAAATATTAGACAATGTTACAATTTTTATAATAATCTATTTGAAATATTTAATATTCCTCGAACATTTTGTTACGGTACTGGAAGTTCTAGCAATTTGCCTTAAGGCACGATGCCATACACCCCACTAGTTATTTATATTTTTTAATAGAAAATCTAGAATACTCAAGGGATTATAATAAACATTCAAACTTAACTATGGATATGGATACGGAGACACAAAAAGCATATTTTAATTTACAATGTAGAAACAATTGATACCTTCGCAAAATAGTAAATTATTGTTTTGCTCATTATCCCATTATCCCATTTTTTCTTCGTTTGGAGTTAACGTGGAATTAAAAAAGAAATTATCTAGTATTATTCAATCCCGTAAACGTAAATTAAATTAATTATTGGGGCATTTACATTTACAATATCAGCTGAAAAAATATTTACAATTTATAATAAAGAAAATTAAAAATGGGGAGCCAGTCGTTAGAAAATGGCTTATTTATTCTGAGAAATTGAATTGTAACTTTTGTTTTTGTTGCAAATATTTAGCATCTGATGAATTTTGAATGTTGAAGACATGCTTGGTTTGGGTTATGGAAATGAAGCAAATATGAAAAATGAAAGCAAACTTTGGACCAAAAATTGTTGATTTTTTGTACCTAATGCTCTCATACTTTAAATTTAATTATTAACTTTGCAGAAATAATACAGATACAAACATTATTAGTTTTTTTTGTTTTCAATATAGTTCAATAAATATGTAATTTCTTTGCATCTTTTGCTAATCTTTGGACAATACTTTTATAATACGTTAAAAATTTAACTTTAAAACAATAATCTGATACTTTGAATCTGATGGGAAAGTAAAGATGAATACAATTCGGTCCTTACGATATCAATAAAGAGAAGTTTACGATGTAATTTTTGGATATTGTAAATAATGAAAAATTAAATAAAAATTTAAATTTAAAAAATCCAATATGAAATACGAGTTTTATATTTAAAAATGAATGGCTTGTTTTTTCTTTTGTTATTTTGTTCAAAATAAATAAGTAAAATACGTTAGAAATAATAGAAAATTTAAAAATTTTTGATTATGATCATCCCGCAAATCGCCTCGATTTTCTAAATAATTTTAAAATAAATGTATTTTATACGCTTTTAGATTATATCTAATTTTTGTGTACTAAATCCAGAATGATTAAAAATTAATAAGAAAATTTATATAATATCAATAATCGCTAAAAAAAAATGCAAACGGGCGCTGAGGACCCCAGGACCGGCCCTATATATATATGTATATTTATGTGTGTGTGCCTGTGTGTGTAATGGTCTGTACTAGAAATCGTGTAGATTATTTGTAGCTGTTCTCTGTACATTTCGAGGTATCAAAATATATTTTGTTCTGCTAACAATATTGGATTATACGAGTATATTATATATTCAAAAGTGTAGCCAGGATCAATCAATTTCAATTAAAATTTAATCCAGGATTAAATCAGTCAATTTCAATTATCATCAAATAATTATATTATCCATCAAGTTAGATTATATTTATATAATTAAAACAATGAATAACATTAACTCAAAATAGACAAAATTAACGAATTGGCGAATAAAATACATTAATACTAATAAATATGATAAAGGTAATTGGTGCTAAATGCCGTAAAAACAAAAATGTCAATGATTGCAGTGATTTATTATTTATTGTGATGTTGGAGTAATTGCTAAATATCTGTTGTAATGCATTTTAACATTTTTTTGAAATGACTGACTTCCTCGTCGCAACTGAGACAATGCCGTTGAACGTTTCCATAATGCTAATTATGTACATTTACTAACATCCCTTAGGATAAGTCATAATAATAGCAAAAAAATCGAAAATGAAAATTTTTATATATCTTTACGTTTCGAAGGTTTCTGAACATTTTGGCATTTTCAAAAAACATTCCATTGCTATTGATAAGGAGACGTGCTGATTAGTTTTTGGCCAAGGCAGGCTTCAAAGATACAGTGCAAAAAGTGCCAAAAATGGTCAATAAGTGTAACCTGTATACTTCAACGCAACGCTTACGCGCTTTGATATTTCGTCTCGACGCAGCAAAGGCAGCGCGATTGCTTTGAGAAAATGTTCAAAATTTCCAAAATATTTCAAAATATTAAATAAAAACTTTTCTTTTTTCAAAAAAGTTTGTTTCAAAGATTTGAAAGTGTAAGTATGTAATAAATCCACTCGGAATACATTTAATCACTGATAAATTAATTTATTTTTCATTGATTAAGTCGATTATTTACACATATCGGGAAGTTTGTGTAACTTTCCTGAATAAAATGCGTATTCTCCTTTTCATTTGATGTTGTGCGCTATGAGTTTTCTAAGATTTTACTCACATATTTCACATCACCTATCTATATATATATATATATATATATATATTACAAAAGTTAAGTCATGTCGAATAGAAAATGTTATGTGCGGAGCAGGAATTTTAAATTAAAGTTGCAAAACAGTTATTTTATCCGCTCTGCTAAATCCGGTATTAACATTTTTATACGCAACGTTGAATTTACACGTAATGCAACTCAAATATACTAATTTCATTGATTTCATACAAAATAAAATTATTATCAACTTAAATATTACGCATATTGTTATAGCTAAACGTCTTTTTCTTCGGTTAAATTGAAAAAATTGAATGAATGAATTATTCGAAAAATAAAGTTTGCGAATAATTTATAAATGATATTCTAGGGTTAGCCGAAACGTATGCATGTAAAATATAAACAAATCATATTTTTTATATTCCATTATTAACTTCCCGTAGGGCAAATTATAGTAATCGCAAAAAAATCGAAAATGAAAATTTTTGCATTTCTCGACGTTTCAAAGCTTTCTGAATATTTTGGCATACCTTAGAAAAAATGGATGTATGTGTGTGTGTGTGTGTGTATGTGTGTGTGTGTGTGCGTGTGTGTATGTATGTGCGGATACAAAATTTCGTCGACGATTTCGGGAACACCGATCAACCGATTTGAATAATTCAAAGAACATTCGATTCGTATTGATAAGGAGAAGTGCTGATAAGTTTTTGACGAAGGCAGGTCTAGCCGTTCCGAAGATACGGGGCAAAAAGTGCCGAAAACGGTAACTCAGTTTTTAAGAGAACGGAGCGTCCGATTTTAATAATTCAAAAAACATTTTACTTGTATTGACAAGGTGAAGAATTGATCAAATTTTCATGAAGGCAGGTTTAGCGGTTTCCGAGATCTAATGAAAAAAGTAAAAAAAATGCCATTCGGCGGTTAAAAACGATCATTAGACATATGCACATCAAATTATCAGATATTTTATAGAGATTTTAACATTAAGTATAATTTTTTAACTTCCCGTAGGGTAAGTTATAGTAATCGCAAAAAAATCGAAAATGAAAATTTTTATATATCTTTACGTTTCAGAGGTTTCTGAACATTTTGGCATACCTTAGAAAAAATGGATGTATGTGTGTGTGTGTGTGTGTGTGTGTGTGTGTGTATGTGTGTGTGTATGTGTGTGTGTATGTGTGTGTGTATGTATGTATGTGTGTGTATGTATGTGCGGATACAAATTTTCGTCGACGATTTCGGGAACACGGATCAACCGATTTGAATAATTCAAAAAACATTCGATCCGTATTGATAAGGAGACGTGCTGATTAGTTTTTGGCAAAGGCAGGTCAAGCCGTTCCGAAGATACGGGGCAAAAAGTTCCGAAAACGGTAACTCAGTTTTTAAGAGAACGGAGCGTCCGATTTGAATAATTCAAAAAACATTTTATTTGTATTGACAAGATGAAGAATCGATACAACTTTC